CTGGCCCATGGACACAATCTTCTCCACTACATGTGCATCAGACCCTTCAAAGTCATGTTCAGTGACATATCTTGGCCACAGTTTCTCTAGGCTGAGTTTAAGGTCCAGCACATGACATTTCTCAGGCTTGTCAGTGAGGTTGATGTGGCAGAGGACATTGAAGTTTCTTCCAGAACTTATTCAGTGTCAAGGACATCTCTTCAGTGACATTAAAAGACCTGCTGAAAAGTGTGCTTGTGTACAGCTTCTTGGACACCTACTAGTCTGTGGGCTGCAGAAGAGGCGTCATGTTGGGGGAAGGAACTTGACCTTTATGAAGTCATACTCAGTGTCCATATCACCTAACAAGGCTAGAGGGTGTGCCTACTCAAAGAAGGAAACTTTGAGGCAGTTGGTTGTCAGAAAGGTGTTTTTTAACAGTCAGTATGAACACTTCATGCAGCAATCCCATGAACAATTAATTTGTGACTAAGCTTTTGCACTGGCCCTCCACATGACAAGCAATTTGGCCTTGTTCACACTGTGTTCCTTGAATGTACAAGGGGTCTGGGACTGGTACACCAGTAGAGGCTTAATCTTCAGATTGGCGCTTGCATTTGCACACAGCAAAAAGGTCAATCTGTCCTTCATGTGCTTGTGCCCCCGCAGTAGCATAAGTTCTGTCTGACGTCGTCCAGAAAAGTACTGTTTCATCACAGTTGAACATTACTTCTGCCTTCATGAATTCTAGAAATTCTTTCTTGCCTGCAGCAGCCTTGTCAGAACTGAGTCTCACCATGTCTTATCACACTGTAGATGCCACTTCTTTTGTGAAATTTATCAAATCACCCTTTACTGGCTTTAAATTTATCACTTGTTGCACTTGTAGAGGACTTTTCTTGCAGTGAATCACTGCACAATTTCCTGTTTTTTTAAAACAGATCATTAACACTATCACCTGCCAACTGTTCGTCATTCAACCACACTAGTAAGTTTTTCCACCACTTCCTCTGTCCCCTGCTTGGTTAACATCATTACTTCTTTTGCCAAATCAGCTCCTTTGATGACATCTGTACTCTTCAAAATAGTCAATATTGTTGACTTTGCCATCTTGTACTCCAAGGCCAGAGTAGTCACATAAATACCACACTCATGCTTTTCTATAATTTATTTCTATATTCAATGGTTATTTTCTTCAAGCCTTCTTGTCATTCTTGCTCTGCACTTACTTGTTACCTTCATTACTGCTCTGCACATTTCTTCTCACCTTCACTACCACTCTGCACTTTCTTTTTACCACCATGCTTGCTCTGCACTTTCTTTGGAGCCATGCTGGATTGAATAATACTGTACAGTCCTATATATACTAAAAACCACACAAAAAAGTTTCACAGCAAGTGTGTACAGGTCTGTGACCAAGATCCCAACTAGAAGAAGCTACAGTCCTGTGATAGAGTAGGAAAAATGGCCGTGTTTGTGTTCATATAGGGAAGATGGCTGTGGTCATGATCATCACCCAATGTGGAGTTTGTGAATGGAAGCAAAATTTTACTGAATGCTTCAGTTCATGAACTGAATCATTTGCAAACAGAAGTGTCCATGAACCAAGGTGTTATTATTTAAAGATTAGAGGAAAAATCAATGAAATTGATACTAAAAATGGAAAAAAATCAATGAAATGAAGAATTGGTTCTTCAAAAAAAAAAAAAAAATACACAAAATAGAAAAGTCCTTAGCCAGACTTACCAAAAGGAAGACAGAAAAGACTTTATCAATGCAACTGGAAATGAAAAAGTGAAATAATAGCAGACACTGCCAGAATTTAGAAGATACTAACTACTTTGAAAAATAATATTGCAATAGATTGGCAAATTTTGAAGAAATGGACAGATTTCTAGACTTATACCAATTATCAAAACTAATGGAAGGAGACACAAAGATGCTGAATAATCCAATAACAAATAATGAAATCTACATGGTAATGAAGACTCTATCAACTTAACAAATCCCAGAACTTGATGGATTCACTGCTGAATTTTATAAAACCTTTAAGGATGTTATATCACCAGTGGTCAAGTTCTTCAAAGAAATTGAAAGGGATGGAGTGCTCCTAAATTCATTTGTGTAAGCCAGCATCACCCGGATTCCCAAACTGCATAAAGATCCAACTAAAAAAGAAAACTATAGGCCAATCTCTTTAATGAACATATGTACAAAATGCTCACCAAGATATTAGCAAATGGAACGTAGCATATCATCAAAAGATCACACATCATGATTAAGTAGCTTTCATCCCAGGGATGAAAAGATGGTTCAACATACATAAATCAATAAGTGTAATAAATCATGTAAACAGAAGCAAGGTTAAAAAACAAATGATTGAGGAGACAATATGGCTGAATAGCAGAGCCTCATTCACAGCTACTCAGAGAAATTCAACTAAAACACAGGTACGTGGAAGAAAGGAGAGGGACATATACCATGAAACTAAAATCAATCTGACATAACAGACTAATAGAGCAAGCAAAACATAGATAATGAACTTCATAAAATGGCCAGCCAGGCCACCTGGGATGATTGCCCACCATACTTGGAACCTTGGAGGAAAAGGAGGGAGAGGAGGAGGAGGAGGAGAAGAAGAAAGGATATACTAAAATAATGTGGCTAAATCAAGCCATACAAGATAGACTTAGGATGTAAGATCCCCTGCCTCTTCTGCCTTCCTGCAAACAGAAGACACTACAGCCCAGCAGTAAATTCTGCCAACATGAACAGCTCTCTGCCTGACGATCAGTCAGTTTTCCTTTTTTTTTTTTTTTTTTTTTTTTTTTTTGGAACCGGGAACCGAACTCATGACCTTGCGCATGCCAGGCAGGCGCTTTTGCCGCTGAGCTAAATCCCCAGCCCTCCTTTTCTTCTTTCCTTTTTTTCCCTCTTACTTCTTTTCTTTTCCTTTTCTTCCCATTCATTTTGTGCACTAGAACACTAACTGGAACTGCCAAGAACAAGATTAAAGACTACAGGAGTGTGTAGTAAATGGAACAGCTAACCCATACCCCATGACCTGTGGTTAGAGAGGCAGAGGGGAATTAAACAGCCCTGCACCTCAGGACTGTGCAGCCCCAGGCTGTCCCCACATTGCTGGGGGGCAGGAGCAGAAAGGCACCCCACAACACCCCACAGCTTGCCTGAGGAAGTTACAGGCTACAACAGAGGTGGGTGATGGTGGCAACAGAACAAGTAAAGGGATGAATGGGAAGTTAGCACCCCACCTCTGGAGAGGAGTAAGAATTGGGACTGAGAAGGCTTAGACTGCAACAGCAGGAGCAGAGGATCAGACTATATCAAAGCATCCCTCCCCACTATGTAACAAATGGAGGAACACAGAAGGCTGAGCAAGGACCAGGAGCTAAAGGTGCATGGGGCTGGAAACAGCCCCCGTCTGTCTGAAAACAGCATAGCAGCTAGGAGAGACTCCACCAAGAAAAACAGGGTAAAGAGTGGAAGGCCGGTAAGGGACATACAGAAAGTACTGGTGGAAGACTCTGGCCCCAGACCACCCACATGTGGAGGCCAAGATCAGCCTCAAATCCAGCACAAACTCTACTGCAGGCTTGGCAGTATTATCCAGTAGTTATGGACTCTTGGTGGACATCAGAAGAATTTTATTTTATTTTTCTTCTTTTTCTGCTGTTTTGTTTCCTGTTCCTTTTCCTTTTCTGTTTTCTTTTACCTATATTTTTACTCTAATCTATTCATCTTCTTTCCCCCTTTCCTCAGTTTACCTCTTTAGACTTAATCATATTTTTATATGAGTGAATAGTCTGTCTAATTTTTCTGGTCAACTTCAATAATCCCTTGCTTACTCCTTCATTCTTTCTCTTTTGTCTTTTTCTCTACTTTCCCAAAGCTTGTGTGATCATCCTTTATTCTACAGCCTGGCTTCTGTTTTATTTCTTTTCAGTTAACTTTGTTCTATCTACTATCCTTCTTAAATTTCCACACTACAGGGTAAAACTACTCTACCAAGGAGGAACACTTTGCATATGAGCTCCCAATTCATGATCAGTTATGTTATGTAATGATAGATTTTGTTTCTATGGTTAAAATTAATAATTACCACAGTTTTTCAGTTTCTAATTTGTACTTGATACTATTATTAGTGCTAATTATACTACTTTAGCTAGGATGCCATATTTGTTGTAATCAGTTCTCACTTCTGTAAAAATACTGGGAAGCTCTGGGGTAATAACCTCACCACACCCCAGCACCAGAGGACTTGGGACTAAGCCAAACACATATCAACATTTCACTCTAAATGAACTGGAAAGATAGGATCTTGGGACAGACACAAGCCAAAAGCCTCCTATATGACCAAGTAGGATTCATCCCAGGAATGCAAGGATGGTTCAACATAAGCAAATTAATAAATATAATACATCATATCAATGGAACCAAAGATTAAAATCACATGATCATCTCAATAGATGCATAAAAAACTTTTGACAAAGTCCAACACTCATTCATGATAAAAACTCTATAGAAAATCAGGATAGTCTTTACCTTAATCTGATAAAAGCCATCTATGACAAACCAATAGCCAACATCATACTAAATGGACAAAGACTGAAAGCTTTCACTCTAAAATCAGCAGCAAGATAAGGATGTCCACTGTCTCCACTCCTATTTTTTTTGTTTGTTTTTTGTTTTTTTCTGGTACTGGGGATCGAACTCATGACCTTGCGCTTGCCATAACCAACCGGCCTTCAGTCCACTTGGAAATGCTTGTCCCGATGGGACATGTGTATCAAGGAAAAGTGCCATTTCTGGCAATGATTCCATGTTTACTGTGTCACCTTTGTAAATATATCTGGATTCCTCACATAGCTCACCTGTAGCTTACTTCACTGGTGCCAATACAGTCCAATAAGACCCATGGGGGTTCTAGGAATCATTTTGGTTTAACCTCTCAATTTAGGAATGCTCTTTGCTGTGTTCTGAATGTGTTCTACCACTCCCAGTTTCACAGGTTGAGACCTAATGCCCAATGCAACACGGTGAAGAGGTGAAGCTTCAGGGAGTTGACTAGGTCATAAGAGCTCCATCACAAGTGGGATGAGTGTTCTTATTAAAGAGTCCTGTGGAAGCTTGCTCAGGTCTTTTGCCAAGTGACAATGCCATAAGAAGTCACCATCTTGAAAACAAAGAGCAACCACTGGCAGACACCAAGTCTGCTGGTGCCTTGATTGTAGACTTCATAACCTTTAGTCTGTGAGGAGTAAATTGTTTACTAACTACACAGTGTGGGCTATTTTATTATAGCAGCCTGAATGGACCGAGACATTTCCTAACTTCTCATCATGTCCTGCCCTAGAATCACCATCTATGATTCTTTAAACTGATTCTAGGAGAAACTTTTCAGCCCCTCTTAAGGCTCCTGAAACTCAAGTCTACTTTGTGAGGTAAATATTTAATGGTCTTACATTTATTTTGTCTTAGTTGGAAGTAGGGAAGGAAACAAATAAATGTCTTATTTTATTTTATTTTATTTTGTTTATTTATCAATAGTAACCAAAAAAAATCAGGAGTTACAAAAACAAGTTAAATGCAATATGGAAGCATACTAAATACAAATACATTTTCTCAAACACAAAGGTCAGGGAAACCTGTTCAAATTGTTTCCTGAAGTTTGACTATTTAAACCATAGATGGAAAGACATTCAGACTGGTTCAGATGCGCTTATTAGCAGGTGGAAGAGCCCTGTTTTTCAAAAACAGTGATGGTATCCAGAGTCATGGCACGTGGGAGGGTTTCCATGGACCTTGGATCTGAACAGATACTGTAATGTTTATAAAACCATACACACAGAGAAAGCCTAGGAAGCTTGCAGTCTATGTCCTACACGCTTTTCAAAGGCTAAAGGAACTGAACTTGATTTAATCCTACCTGTTTGCCCCATGCAAAGCTCTATGCAAGACTTCCCAAGCTAGGCTGTTTAGCAGCTTTCCATGAATGGCCCTCAGATCACTTGATCCTATGGTGCAGGCAACAGCTGCCCTATTTACACAAAAGCAGCAGACTCAAGAGGAATGTGGCTTTGCTCTTGGGAATTCAGTGTTGCAGGGTGGGGCACAGTCTTGGATGGCATTTGCTATTCTAAATGTGGCCAGTGAAGAGACACTGTGGCTTCTTGCTTTAAACAAACTGGTACTTTTACCCTCTCCCATGGTGTCCAAGAGCTGGCAAAACTTCCTTTGATTAAGGCGTGCTGCTGTGGGTTCTCCAAGGCACTTGGACAGGGAATTGCATTTCACACTGCACACATGGAGTTCAAAGAGAGCTTCTTAAAAATGGGATGACACATAAAAGCTCAGAATTCTAGCTGAGTGAACTGGAGTTTTCTCCTTTCAAATGAGAACCAGGAAAACTAGAAGGAATTCCTTTTCTGGCATAAATTTCTCTGTTGCCCGTGCAGCACCATCTAAATACTTTCTCTCTGAGGATCTATATCTTGATTTTTCCAAATGAGATCAAGTTTTTGATCTTTGTTATGCCAAATGTATCAGAAACAATGGTAATGAGGTTTACTAACCAGGAGCCAAAAGACACATGTGTAACTGCAAAAAACTGACTTCTCCACAGCTCAGTTTTAAGACTCAGTCTCCATTGTTCACCCCTCTTGAATCCAAAACCACCTTCTGGCCTCAACTCTAAAGGGAAAGGTCTTCTGACTCCAACAAGAGTTGTACACGACATGCATGGTTGAAGACATGCTTGGGATGGTTCTTTCACCCTCTCTTGGGCCGGCTTTCCAAGGAAGGGCAAATACCAGCACAAACTGCAAGGTTCATGCACAATGAGGTCAAACTTGGCTATCTTGTTTTTCAGCTATATCTCTTTTCTTGTTATAATAAAGTTTCATTTACCCTAAGGAGAAGGAGGAGAATCACAGGAACCTGTTGTCTTTGGACAACTGCCAGAATCACAAACTTTATAATTTATCAAATCAGAAGCTTAATGCATTCTTAACTACTCAGTTAGGAAACTGGGGCCCAGAAATAGGAGGAAATAGGTCAAAAGCACTCTGCTCATCTTACTGGTAGATCAATGATCATGTTCCTAGGCTGGGATATGCTAAACTTCCATCCTTTGGAATAGTGATTTGCCTGGTCTTCTCAGAGTAAATGAGCACAAATTAACTTCTGAGATATTGGAAGTTTTATATGAAGATGCTTCCTCTTCCCCTGGCTTCTGTCCAAGGCCTCTCTGCCCCCTAGGCACAGAGCCGACTTGCTGGAAACCAAGGGGCCAACTTCGGGCTGCATCTAGTCTAGGCTGTGGGAGGCTCAAGGGTGTCTGGATTATAGAGGTCCCTGTACTAGGAAGAACTCTGAATTCCTTCCACCTCAGAAATGGTAGAACTACTGAAAAAGTAATTATAAAAGCTTAATACCTAGTCAAGAAAATAAAATATAAAACAACAGAAGTACAATGATAATAATTGAAAAATGAAGTCAACTTACCAAAAAAGAAAAAAGTGTTTTACAGAGAAGTAGCACCTTTGGTAAAACATAGTTTAAAAGTTTGGTTAGGTCTCTATAGGGCTCAAAATATCCAAGTATCTGCATCATTTGGGCACACCCTCCTGTAAACTCCATCCAAGTATGAGGGATGTGGGTCACTAGCAGGATGGCTGTGTGTCTAGAGGAGTGGCCGGGACCAAGAGGAGAAGCAAAATGCAGGACATCTGTCATGCTGACAGCAGTGACAACAAGGATCAGAAGCAGAATGTGGTCTGTGACCTCAGAGAGGCTTCAGATCTGGGTCTGTGCCCTTCCCTCCCTCCTCCAGGGACTGCCTGCCCCGTCCTCTCTGGTGTTGCATTTGCTCCCTGCAGCTGCTCACAGTTGCCGCAACTTCAGAGGGGCTTCAGCTCTGGGTCTGCCCTCTCCCAACCCGATGCAGTCTCCTTACTTGCCTCCAGCCCCAGAGCACCATTTACAGTTTCTCTCAAAGCTCTCCTAGAAATGAAGGCTATGGCCCATGCCTTCCTAGCCAGCTACTCCCATTTCCTTTATTGCAAAACAAATAAAGTAAAATTTGTTGCTATACAAGCAAATACTGGTGATTTGGTGATTGTAGCAGACACTTGGTATACTGGACTCTGCGCTGAAGTAGAAGAGAAGGTGCTGCGCTCCAGACACTCTTCCTACAAGCCTCTTAGACTTCTTTGGTGCTCGCCCTCTTGGTCTTTTCAGCTGTTTCCTTTGAGATGCAAAAGAAAATAATCATCATGAAAATATTTAACAATACAATGCACCGGCAGGCGCATGTTTATGCAGAATTTTAGTTGTTTACTTCTCCAGCTCCTCTGTGGATGCTGAACGAGAGGGCAAGGAACACGTCCTTTTCATGACAGGGTGACACAGGGGCTGTTTACTAAATTAAGAAGTGATCCCATCTGAACTCTTATGAAACAAACTGATCAGATACTATGATTTCCATTTCAAGGACAAAGAAAAAGATATCAAATGTATACAAGATGTTGTGTTTCGAACAAGACCCAGAGAATTAAGACCAGTGGGTTCCATAGGCAGACTGCTTCAGTGTGAACTTGGCTGTGCTACTTTCTTGGTAACTTTGGGCATGTTGCGAAACCGCCTGTGTGTCAATGTCTTCAACTGCAATCGGCGGTAATGAGGACAACTGTTACAGCAGTGCCTGGCACAGTCCTCCCAAAAAGATACAAAAATGGCCAAGAAAAGATGTCCAAACCCATCAATCATTAGGCAAATATAAATCAAAACCTCAAAGAAATTCTGCTTCACATCAATTAGAACAACTAGAATAAAGTAACAATGACAAATGTTGGCAAGAATGTGAACTTAAGCACGGAGTTACCACCTGACCCTGCAGTCCCATTCCTAGGAATAGAGGCATTATTCCTTGCAGTCAAGAAATTGAAACAAACTCAATATCTACTGAATGATGAATGGGTACATAAAGTGTGCTACATCCATGCCATGAAATGTTTTTGAGCCACAGGGAGGAAGTACTTGGGCTGGGGGTTTAGCTCAGTGGCAAAAACTCCTGCCTGGCAAGCGCAAGGTCATGAGTTCAATTCCCGGTACCAGAAAAAAAAAAAAAAAAGGAAGTACTGATTCATGTTAAAGGATGAACCTGGAAAACACTGTGCTCAGTGCAGAAAGCCAGGCAGAAAAGGCCATATATATCGTATGATTCCATTTACATCAAATGTTTAGAATAGGCAAATATATAAATATAGAAAGTAGATTAGTGGTTGCCAGGGCCAGAAGGAAGTGACTTCTAATGCTGTTTCTCTGTGGAATGCTGGAAATGTTCTGGAATGAGTGGTGATAGCTGACACTTTTTGTTGCTGTTGGAGATAGGATCTTGCTATATGTAGTTCAGGCTGCCCTTGAACTGATGGTGATCCTCCTGCCTCAACTTCCCAAGGGCTGTGATTACAGATGTGCACCACCATGCCCGGCTTATACCACTTTTACCATATACTGAAAACCACTGAATTGAATACATTAAAAGGGTAAATTTTATAGTCTGTGAATTATACATCAGTTTTAAAAAAAGGAAAAACACTGACAACAGTGGCTGGTACTCTAGCAGACGTGACTGGTATAGTTTGGTGAACACTGGCTTTCTTACTGCCATCTGAAGTGTTTTCTCTGGCATTGAGGACCCATGCTGTCCACACATGCTGATGGCCAGAAATACCAGGGAGTTAACATCTCCTGGTAGCAACCCTCAGTCACTGATGGAGGCTTCATGGAGATCCCCCAGCTCCCTCCCACCTTGAGCGCAGTAACTCTGTTCTAGAATTCTCCACAGGATTACACTCCGTGTGCCCATGCTGCTACTGTGCCCTAACATGCTCTTCGTTGCTTCCTTCCTGGACACACTTCCCTATTTCTTTCCTGCTGTTTCCTGGGATTGGCTCCCAAATAAACTATCTCTACTCGAGTCCCCTGTCTCAGTGCCTGCTTCTGAATGAACTCCCATAAGACAGATAAACCCAAAAATATTAACTATCGGCCTTTACTACTCACTGTCGCTACACTATAATTTCTCCACCCTCAATGAAAAGAATTCCTAGGAAGTTTTACTCCCCTCCCCTTTGATGGGGTGATCCTCATTTGGACACTCAAGACTGATGAAATTGGGAAAAGCAAGACTAGAAGCTTCTGCTTAAAGAATGGAGATTTCTACAGGACCAGTGATGACAAAATGCATATAAAGAATGATCAACAAATACGAACACTAATAATAATTATCAAATATTTCACCTTATTAGCTTAGCAGCTCTTATGATCATTAAATTCCCTAAAAACCTATATGTTGAGGAGAAAGCTTTTATTACCAGACCTGGTGTACAAATATATCATGTGTAGTCTAAGATCGTGTGGACATTACATAAGTCAGGGGCTGGCCTAGGACCCAACACTGTCACAATATGTCAGCCTGTCACTATTTTGCTAAGAAAGCTTTCCTCAAGGAGGGCTTCAATTTGATGACATAAAGGCTGGACAGAACTTTCAGAACCTTCTTGAGCCTCCAGGAAGGAGAAGCTTTGTCAACCACGGGCTGTTTTCTAACCAGATGCACACTTGTCTTGAATCCTTCGTACTGTGGTTCAAGTCCACTCATTTCCCCCTCACTGAGTGCAGACTATGTACCAGGCCCTGCACCACATGCAAGGGCACAATCACGAGCAAATTATGAAGCCTGCTCTCAAGGAGTGTGTAATCTTCAAGTTTGGGTCCTGGTCACAACAAGAAACCTTAACACTAATACTTCTTTAGAGCGTGCTCACTTGCAAATTACCGCTGGCTGAGTCTCACTTATAGAGTCACTTACCAAGCTGTAAACCATCTGCTGGATACTGTGGGGCTGGGCTAGCGGACCCTATAAGGTGGTATCGTTCAAGATCTACTGTATTGAACTAAGTATGTCTCCTTGGTCTGCTGGAGCACTGGAAGTGTCTGAGTGGTGTAAGGGTGTCTGGTGTGTGGTGGTAGCAGCAACAACTGGAAGAGCAGAGTGGATGTCATGTCACTCACCTGGTGCTTTTGAAGTCCCTGAACATATCGGGTCATCTCTTCCTCTGTTTGGGTCTGGGCCCCCTTTTGATTCTTTCCTGCAAGAAGAACCAAAGCTCAGAGAAGTGGTGGCTGTGGTAAGCAAAGAGGGATCCACCTAGCTTGGCCTTATACACCTCAATGCATCTCCCATTTAACATGTGGAAGGAGAGGCATATCACCCACAAGTCCCTGAGTATAAAGGCATGAAGGGCCCCATGCAACTGACACTGAAGGTAACAGACTGTGACCCAGCAGACTGTCCCAACTCTTCTCTGGCCTCTGTTTCTAGGGTCTCCTTCAACTGCTCAGCATGTCTGTTCCATAGGCTGGCTCTGTAGGAAAAACTATGCCGAGAATCTGTGTCCTGGCTCAGGCAATTCCTCTGGGGCAGTGATTCTCAACCGCTCATATGACCTCAAAATACCCTGGAGAACATTCTAGAATGTAATTCCTAGTCAGGATATAGCTCAGTGGCAGAGGACTTGCATAGCATGTGCAAAGTCCTGGCTTTGATCCCTAGCACTGCAAACAAAGAAATAAACAGAAGTTACCTAGCTTTCACCTTTAGAGAGTCTAGTTTAATTAATGTGATTTGGGACCTGGACATCTATCTTTTTTAAAAGGATCTCTAGGTGACTGATGTGCAGCCAGGGTTGAGAAGCACGGCATCTAGCAATGTTTCCCAGATTTGCAGCAGTACCACTAAAATTACATAGGTTCTCCAGCTATTCCTTTCACAGATTCTAATTCAGCAGGTTTGGGATGGTGCCCAGGAATCTCTGTGATGAACACAAAACACAATATTTACCAGTAGCAAAGCCTGGACATTGACATTGATCTGTTCCCCACGACAGTTTCCCTTGGCCCAGGCTTCACCTCGCTTCAGCTCTCAGGTGTTTTTCTTCCCTTTGGAATTTGTGGTGTAAGCCTAGATTGCTTTCAGGTACGAGCCTGAAATTTCCTTTTAAATCCAAAGCCCACACACCAAGATGTGCCGAGGCCCCCAGGGTTCCACCATCTGGATTATTACTTTTTTTCTCAGTGCTGGAGTTAGAACCTAGTGCCTCAAGCATGCTAGGCAAGCATTTTGTCCCTAAGCTACACCCTCAAGTCCAGGATTATTCTTTATACCCACATACAGCTCTGAACTTCAGCCTTCCCGGGAAGGAGAGGAGAAAGGAGAGAGGAAAGAGAGAAGAAGGAAGGGAAATCCAGAGCTGTGTGGCCATGCAAACAGGCAGCGTCTATGTGGTGAGAATCTGGATTCTGTCTGATGCATCATTATGCAGACGATCTTGCTTAGGATTCTGTACCAGCTATACACCAACTACTGTGTCTTAGAAATAGAGCGCTACTTGTATGAAGCCAGTTGAAGAGCAGCTACATATGTATGGACACCGGAGGGAGCCTGGAGAAGATGAACATAAAGTGATTCCTGGTCCAGGCAGGTTGAGCCACTGTTCCAAGATATTCTCTGTGGCTTCAGTAGCTACTGTAGTGTAGTTGAAGACTCTCTTGATCTTTGGCATCCCTGTAGCCCAGGACTCAAGTGAGTCCAGAGATACCCTTTAGCTTCTGTCCTGTACCCCAAACTCTCTCTGATGTCTTTACTTTCCAACCTACCCTGCCCGTGTGTCAACTATCTCAACTTTTCTTATTAGGATTGCCTAATTCTGCTAGGTCAAAGAGTGTTTTCAGACATTTATCTTTTTTTCTGCCAGGTGTGGCAAAGTATAGAGTCATTTTGTCTTCCAAACACCTCAGTCTTTTACATGCAGTACTTTCTAAGTGTCATAATGACTAAGTGAAATAATACACAAAGTGCTTAAAAGAGTATCTGGCACAGAGTTCTCACTAAACCACAGTTTGCTTTCTCTGTTGTCATCCTTCCAGTCTCACAGCAACATTTACTCATGCTCTGGGTCTTAATCTTCTTCCATTTGAAGCCTCTGGAATGATATTCAAATTAAGTACATCTGGGACAAGCACTTTGCCTGGCGTGTGACCCGTGGGAGCCCTGACACTGCAAGTTTGGGTCTGCCGCTTGCTCCCTGGTTTTCTTGTTCCCAGGTAGCATTCTCCTCTCCATTGCCCCCAAGCTGACTTCTCATTCACTCATGCAGATTATTATTATTTTTTTTTTTGTGGTGCTGAGGATCGAACCCAGGGCCTTGTGCATGCAAGGCAAGAGCTCTACCGCTGAGTTAGAACCTAGTTCCTTTCTTCTGTCTGGGGTGCAGCTCACCGTCACAGGTCAGGGCTGTGCAGACCCAATTTCCACAGGCACAGACGCAGCGGTTGCAGTCCACCTCAGTCTCAGCGCCATCTGCGTACGTTTCGTCCTCCAGAGCACACTCTGTTGGACCCGAAAGAAGGACAACAGTTTGGCTGTAAGGCTGGAACAGTCTGTGCACCTTCCCCTCGTCCCAGGCCTGCCTGCCAGAGGCACCACAGCTGAGCAAATGCTCCCATCGGAATAAAATCTTGGACCTTAACTTCACCACGGAGCAGATGGACTGGGTGCCCAATCTAGAATCACAGATTTTTTTGGCCAGCCCTGCAGAGTTCTGCCAGTCCGCTCCATTTTAGCACCCCACATGCCTCTATCCCCAACTACTCTCTTGCTAGGTTAAGCTTACTCTTCTCAGGAGGGTTGAAGGATGGATTGAGGCACTTGAGGAACTCTTGGAAGCTGAGTTTCCAATCAGCGTTTTCATCAGACAGTTCAATGAGAGCATCAACACAGAGTCCTCTGAAATAAAATGGGGTAAAATGTCAGCTAGACCTCAGCTGCTCGCTGAAGAAAGGAAGCATCAGACTTAGCTACACCTGGGGCCTCCTGGAGGCCAAGAAAATGACTGTTCTCTGAAAACCTGTCCCTCAACATCAACCTGGTACAACCATTATCCATCCCAACTTCCCTTAGCGTCTATAACAGCCAGCTTATTAAACTAGATGTCATTATCACTTAGGCTCCTCAAATGGTCCTCCACAATGACGAGAGTTTTGTGAACAGCTTTGACTGACAAATACTTTCCCTACCTGCACACCTTTCCCTAGTGATTGCCTTTCCCATAGTATAACTGTCCAATCAATCAGATTGCCTTTCCCATAGCATAACTGTCCAATCAATCAGACCAGAAAAATCAAAATACAAGAGATATGACAGATGCTATGAAAGGAATATGGGATTTGAATGAGTATGAAATTCAAGCAGGAATCACTATTATCACCACTCTAGAAAGAGATCTTTCAGAAGAGTTTTATAGACCCTCAGATCCATCATTGCCCCATTGGCCTGGATTTGAGCCTTGGTTCAATCTCTTACTACCTACATGGTCTTCAGTTAGATATTTGGCCTTTCTGAGCTCATTTTTTAACCTGTAAAAGGAGGACAAAAGCTCTCCTTTCCTGAGATGCTATAAGGTCAAACACTGAAATCATAAAACATTATCTAAATTCAAGTGACCAAAATATGAAGGATTTACAGAACCTATATCCTAAGGACTTGGGCTATGGTTAGGAAGAATCCTAGTAGCTGTGCTTAGTACTTCTTCTGAACAAAAGTCAGTTGCTTTTCCTATTTTTAATTCTACCAACGCACTAGAAGTTTCTTAGGGGTTAATTCTTATTAATATTTATTTTAGACTAATACCAGAAAAGGAGAAGGACATACATTTGTACAATTAGAGTATACATGAGACCGCACCAATTATCTTAAAATCAGAACTGAAGCTATTGTAGATCTACTATTAGATAATGGGTCAATGTATTCCTTCAGAAAATTAACCAATAAAGTATCCCCCATATCACTCAGAGACAACTTAGTTCTCATGTGACCTTAATCAGTTGTTTTCAGATTACATCTTCTTTCCTTGCATGTTTTAGGCCAAAACAGTAACTACTTGATTAGAATCAGTGTTGCACAACATACTAGTTTATAGTGCTCACAGCAAGAATAGAGCAGAATTTGTATTTTTCCCTATTATTTCACATTGGCCCTGGTGGTTCTGTCACAGTAAGAGGAGCTCAGATCCTCCCAGGCATTCTTTTGCTGTGGTCCACGCCCTGAGCCTCACTCCTCTCACCGTAGCAGCTTGTTGTTCTCCTGGTCTGCATAGGTGGTGATGTTGATGGCAGTTTCATTCTGCTCCACAAATTTCAGGAATTCACTGGAGTCCAGGCGCGAGTCGCCATTATCAAAGTTCTAGAAAGAGGATTAAGAGATCTTTCAACACTGTGTTGTAAAACTTCAGTTCCACCACTGTCCCCAACTCCATTCCAGCCCTCCCTGGCCTGGCCTCAAGGAGCTGAGCAACCAAAGCTGTAGTTGCTTACCAACTGAAGGAGGCACCAATACCCTGAGATGAGTGAGTTAAAATGCCTCGTAAGTCAATCGAGATCCTGCTGGGGAGGTGCGGTTGGATGGGGGCCTAAATTGCCCCAGAGAGCGTTTGAGAGTACTCTGTAGTCTGTCCCTGACACCGTCCTGCAGACATTCTCATCTCTACACTTGGGTTCAGAGCCGCCACCAGCCCATGCTCGAACCCTCATGCGGATATAACAAGAGTACACATTCACCGACTGTGAGCCAGAATCTCATGAAGCCCAGGACGTGTGCCTCTAACAAGGAGCGGCAATGCAAGTGACCTTCCAAGCTCCCTTTGGGAATCACATGACTCTGTCTTGTTGTTTCATTTCCAGCCTCCTTGTGCTTAACTTGGGGCTTAAGTTTCACACTGAAACATGGAACCCACCACGTGATTGAGAACTCACAGGCACAGGCGCCAAGTCAGTAAGCTGTGGGCAGGGCTGCTGCAAAGTCCCTGTCCTCAGCCCTGTGCTGTGGTCCCCACGGTGGACGTTCACAGGTCCTCAGACCTCTCCACGCGGGCTGTCCTGATGAACCATCCAACACCCCTTGGGCATGAGGTAAGAGTATGATGAGCTCAAGCACTGTGCCCTCCATGGCAAGATCCTAAACACAGGCCTCAGCCACCTGGGGCCATTCATGAAGCCGAAGCTCTAGCTGTAGGAGGGAGGGGTGTCATTTTCAAGACTCTGGTCAAATCCCAAGTTGGACACTGCTGCTTTCTTAACTAGACTAGTTCCATTAGTATTTTTCTCTCACTCCCAAATTCTTTCCCTAGGCTTCCTGGGAAATGATCAGCACCCCACTGTTACTTTTGAGGTGACTCTCCAGATAGTGCAAGGAATTTTGGGAGAAGAGTATGTCCTGAGTTTCGAGGTAGAAGGGAAAAATGAACCTGCGGACTCTTAGGATCTCCATGTGCACACATGTTCCATTTCAAGGTTGTTCCACGCCACGCACAAGTACACATAAAACAGCTACTAGGCCCTTGGCTGGTACCTACTTGTGCCCAGGAACAAGTCTCAGATGCTCCTAATTCACTGTACATTTGCCCTGAGGAAATTTCCCTATAGTTCACCTTGTGAGGTCTTAGTTAATTAAGGGAGAGTAATTAAGTCAGCTTGGCCAGCGGGCATTCTTAACAGCAACGGATTTTCTTTATTCCAAATGCTGCATGTTGTGGGCAAGAGAAACAACCCTCTGAGACCCCAGCAGCACCAGGGCCTCATGACAGAGTGCAGGGAGGGGATTAGTCCTGCCTGGCTGCAGACCCACTGTGGTGACCCACGTGAGCACCCTGAACTTGGCAACCACAGCCAGCCAGATGGCTCTCAGAGGCAGTGTCTGTGGGCACACTTCTAGCATCAGGGGGCCCAAATGCAGGCTGGAAGCAGAGGGGCATCCTGGCCTGCCTGCAGTCTTCTCTTAGGAGGGCCTAGTTGTGGCTCCCCCGGACAGATCTTGGTGCGGAATCCACCGAAGCCCAGAAGTCTGGTACCTGCCCCAGAAACGGCAGGAAATGCTTATGAGATCCTGACCCAACCTCGTCCAGTTAACCTCTTTCAGCCAGCCAGTCACAAAGACACAGTGCTCCTGTATTCCTCTCCTCCTCAGCTCTCTATCTGAGGCAATGCTTTCCTTCTGCCTCACCGCAGGGTGGTGGAAGGACAGAAATGTGGGTGGTTAGACACCCACGCTTGGTTCTCATTATTTTAAGTCTGGAGACTGTTCAGACGTGGGCTGAACCCGGCACTTACACACAGTAGTTGGGATGATGCAATAGGTGACTCCAGCATAAGAGGGATAGAAGGCTGGCTCCCGTAACAGCCTTGTCCCCAGGACAAGGTTGGGGTATGAAAGGCTCTTCCTGGTGTGGTATGAAAGGCTCTTCCCACCAGGGTAGGATGCTTCTACCATCGAGAAGCATCCCTTGCAGAGCGGCCTCAGGATAAGCATCCCTTCTACTTCTTTATTCTGTTGTGTTTTCACCTAAGAAATAGTGCCTGAATCACAGCCTGAGGTGAAAGGCAGATTTTGGCCATATCCACACTCTGATTAGATTTGCTTTTCCACTGCTTTGGTATAAGGAATGTCAGCTTGGCTGGAGAACAAGTAGCTAGGTAGCTCAGGAAGAGTCTCCTGCAGAGCTCAGCTCTCTCATGAAAGGGCCTGCTGGGCGGGAGTTGCCCTGAGAAGAAAGCAACGCGCAGGGAAGGGGAAAACTCCTAGGAGACACTGCCACAGGATCTGGGAAGAAGAATTCTGTTTTGTCAGTTGTACCCTGGCCTTCTGAGTTGGGAGAAAGTCCTCAAGAGAAGCTTTTTCAAGGGGCTGTGTGGTCTGCAACTGGAGCCTCCAACATTAGTGTCGGGAGGTGTCGAGGGGGTGTGGCCTGGGCACTTGGGCGTCAAATCTAGCAGCAGGTGTCAGAGACGCCTGAGGCTGGGTGCCACCAAAGGACTGCTACAAATGGATACAAGGTCCCAAGTGGCCCCGCGGCTCCATGCTGTAATCACAGGGACAAGTCTGTGCTCACAACAGGCCCCGCAGGTACCACACACCGTTGGCTTTGGAAACACTGTTTTGAACTATTTTTTGCTCCTGTCCAGCTGCTGCCCAGCAACACGGTGTGTTTCTCTGTAAAGAGGAACCTCTCGATGGCAAGAGCTGTCCTGAGGGGGTGACTGAGACAAGACAGAGAAGGGCTGTGCTCTCAAAAATGTGGAATCCAGAGAGATTTCATCTCTGCCACCGGAGAGAGAAACTTCATCTAAAACAGCACAAGAGAAATCTTAAGTGATCAAATATCCACTTTATCTCAACCCAGTACTCCTCTGTCTGTGGGGTTTATAATGCCAATCAGAAAGAAGTCGCAGACCAGACAGACTGGTGTTGAGAATGCAGAGTGGGCTTAGGGCTGCCGAGAAGTCCCTCCGGTGTCTGGGGCCCTTCCAAAGTCCTGGCTGGCGAGAGCCTGGGACAGCAGTCCCTGGCATCAGGCAAGGGGCAGTGTGGCCTCAGGATGAGCTCCAAGGCCTAGAGCTGTGCGTCTGAAAATGGGGCACCTATGGGATCTTGGGAGCCTGAATGCGTGTGTAAGTATAGCGTGTGTCTCTGTATGGCATGCTCTGGCTTGTTGTGTGTGTGACTGTGCTCATGTATCTGTACTTCTGAGCATGACGTGCTTACCTGAGTGTGATGTTCCTATGTACGTGTGTGTGTTCTTGTCACTCACCCAGAAGAGTGCCCTGAGTGCCCTCAACTGCTTCTTCTACGACTCTCAAGCTTTCAGAAAGATTTCCTGCCTTTTCCTCCCCTTTCTGTTTGAAAGCAGCACCTCTCCTGGCATTAACTGAACTCTGTCCCCTCCACTAGACAGGATAAGCCAGCACTGTGTAGGCTCACAAAGGACCTCTGGGCCCTTAAAATGCCAGTCTGTGGGCTCTTGCTGATGAGGAAGCTCTGCAGGCTGTGGATGGTCAAGATGGTAAGTTGGAGAAACGTCAGACTGGGTAGGAAGGAGGCTGAAGAGGTTTGGGACTGGGTGGGATCAGAAGGTCCTTTGTATCAGCAGGCAGCTCCGTAAGGCGGCACATGAGGTCAGGGCCAGAGCACGGCCGTATTTCTTCCTGACAGCCACTCCAAGACATCCGCGGTTTAACTGCCCAAAAGAGCAGCATTTGAGCGGTGGATTCCAGGGCTGACTACTGTCTTGCTGATCGAGTGCATCACAAGGCAACTTTCCCAGCCTGGTGGAACCATTTACGACGAGGAAACATGCAGGGCCTCTAAGCAGGTCTATGTTGCTGCCTGGTCAGGCAATGGGAGGAGGAAGTTTCCCCTTCTCTGGGACTGAACAGTCTGGACCCTGCCTCTGATTACCTTAAAGTACTTGTCTAGGATTTCACTGTAGTTGCTGCCTTTCGAGAACCAGCCATCTGGAATGATCTCAGCTTCCAACCACTGGATGATGCGATGCCGGAGCTCGTCACGGTTGGCCTGATAGCAAACGACTGCAGGAAAAGGGAGGCGTGTCAGCTGGGGGTCAATGACCCCGGTGTCATCTGGCACCCACTATCCACGAAGCTCAGCGCCCAGGCACTGCTGAGCCATCAGATTCAGCCTTCACTGCACCCCGGGGACATGGGATGATCACACCCTGAGGACATAATCAGGAAGTGTCTAACCCCGGAGTCAAACTCACGTCTCTCAAACATTTACAAAGATTGAGAGTGTTGACACAGAGGTTTGGTTGCTTAAGTCTGAAAAAAGAAAATAGGGCAGCAAAGTACAGAACATTTTCATTAAATTTAAGAAGCTGAGGGAAAAAATTCAATCACTAAAGCAGCTCTCTTGGCTCCAACATGAGCAGAGGAAAGCACAGGAATAAATGGCAGCATGGTAATTCTTGATGTCACTGCATCTCTGATTTTTCTCCCTTTCTCTCCAACTACTATGTCTATCAAAATGTTCTCCCATTTAAAATTTTATTCTACTTGCCCATCCTCTATTATACAGAACAGAAACAGGAGGGGCTGAGAGTCAGGTGGGTGGGAGCAGAGCAGAAACAGCCGCTGGAGAAGAAGGAAATCCCCGGAAGACAATATACGTGGGAATTGGGGAAGGCGCAGGGCTGGGAATGGACACATGGACATTGTTTTTCACTCTGCCCTTCCTAGCTGTGTGAGGTGGTGAAGCTCAATCTCTCTCAGCCTCTGTTTCTTCATCTGTAATTACAGGGAGGTCTACCTCACCAGGGTGCTGTGAGGACGGGAGGACAGTGCTTGGTAAAGGGGTCTGGATCTACAAATCACAATGAAACTTTAATTTGTATTAACAGAAAACCACAGAACCCTTATTAGCACGTCCAACTGCCCCTTTGCTAGGCCTCCTGATTCTGCTGGCCCAGTGACACCAGTGTACAGGGACCTGAAGGGAAGACTCGGGTTTCCTGTCCTTGCAGTGGAGCCGCCGCTCAGCAGAAAGGGAGAACGGCTAACAGTCCGCTCCCCACCGCTTTAGTTGGCAAGCACCCAAATATGCAGTTTTGCAGTTTTCCTGAGCTGTTTTGAGGAGTGGCGGTTCTGGGTCACAAGTTCTGACACACAGAAGATCTTGTGAGCTCGGCAGGGATTTCTGTCTCAAAAAGAATTTCTTCCCCAAGATGTGGGTACACAGCAGGAAAGGTCAGCACTCACCTGGACTGGCGGATGGACTTACAGATTTCTTCTCTGCAAGACAGAAAAAGAAAATGTGTAATGTAAAGAAACGGAAAATATCTGCATATTTCTGGGATTAAAACCGCCCCTAGCAAAGCGGCTTGTTTGTAGGTTTTCATCATTTTGCCTTCAATATTTTCTCCTTCCCTTAATATTTTTTATTTGTCTTTTATTTTTTTGGATACTGGGGATTGAATCTAGTACCTTTGCACTGAACTATATCTTTTCTTTTTTGGTGGGGGTCAGGTTTGTACCGGGAATCAAACTCAGGACTTTGCATTTGCCAGGCAGGCGCTGTGCCACTAAGGTATCTCCCCGGCCTCTTGCACTGAACTATATCCCCAGTCCTTTTTTATATTTATTTTGAGACAAGGTCTCTCAAGTTACTCAGTTGCCCAAGCTGGATTCAAACTTGCAGTTTTCCTGCCTCAGCTTCACAAAATGCTGGGATTACAAGCATATGCCACCATGCCTGGTACTTTCCCTTTTTCTAAGGCTCTAGTACAGGATCGTCTCTTCACTGCTTTACCATTTTACAGTGACTGTATTGTCTTCCTGGTCTCACACTTCCAACTATTGAGTGGAGGGCCCCTGAGATTTTGAGATTTCGTATGGTGGAAAAGTCATACAGTCATGTAGTGATCCACTGCTCCGTTCTGTCTCCCCACGCCAGTAGTGCGGATGGTGTGCCTCACCTTTGCAGTGCCCGTCATAATCCACCTGAATTTTGGATCCAGTAAGGCAGGCATCTCGATGTAACTCACAGTGGTTGAGGTAGGTCTTGCCGTTACTGCCACACACAGGCCTCTTGTGAGGTTTGCATTGCTGAAATAGACCCATGGGAGGATGTTTATGTAGTCATGGGTACTAACACACACACACACACAGACACACACACACACACACACACACTCCATTCAGTGAAGAAACAGATACCCTGCTGCAGTTTTAAGTGTCTGTATCTCCACCAAAATTCACTTTGAAACAGCCCCAGGTGCAGCTATATTAAGGGGTGATTTTTAAGAGCCGAATAGGTCAAGAGAGTTCCTTCCCTGTGAATGAGATTAAGGGCCTTTATAAAAGAGATTTCACACAATGTGTGAGGCCCTTATTCTCCTTTTCCTTTTGCCATGGGAGGGTACAAAATTTAAGGTGCCATATTAAATGTAGAGAATGGGCCCTCACCAGACATCCAATCTACGTGTGCCTTGATCTTGGACTTCCAGGACCTGAGAATTAAATTTCCATTATTTATTAATTAAGTATTTTGTTATGGCAACACAAATGGGCTAAGACAACCCCTTCACCCTATGGAATTACCAGAAAGGGCATTTTATTAAGAAGTGAACAATTTGAATTGTCATTGTGGAAAAATTCATTCAGTGTCTCTGCATGAGCCCTGATCTCTTGAAATTCTGAGATCCAAGACACAAAATAGCCAGAGCTGAGAGCTAAGAGTTCGAACACCAATAGGCAGGCTCATACACACACACTCTCACACACACACACTCTCACACACACACACTCTCACACACACACATACTCACTTGTATTCTAAATTCTCCTGAGGCCTAATTATACAAATTTCTTGCTTTGTTTAGTATTTGGGAGCTGTTCCATTTTCTTTCTAATTTCACAATCACTACTGTGAGGCTGTGGGTGGGGTGCAGAACTACAGGAAGTAGGCAGGAATATGGAATAAAGTTCATTTGGCAGCTAAGTTGGGCTTTGGCTGTTGAGATGGCCAACACCATAGGCAAGCTCAGTTTTTTTTCCTTTCAGATTTTTGTAGCTTTTAAGAGGGAACAGAGAGCAAGTTCATCTCAGATCTAACAAAGGGACCAAAACAAACAAACAAAAAGCAGATGAAAGAAAAGAAAAGATGAAAGAGTATATGTGATAAAAGAAACAAAACACTGGATCTGGAATGTAACCCATTTCCTCCAATTTATAGATTAAGATACTAAAGCCCAGAAAAATAAACTTGCTTTACTGTTATTTACTACGGAATTCCTACTGTGTGCTGCATGCTGAGCGAAACTAAACATGAGCTATTTCTTCATGGCATTCCATAGGAATCAGTTTCCTCAAAATCGTACAACTGTACATGGCGGCACTGAGAGCAGACATCGGCTTCCAGATCAACCCTAAGGCTGAACTCACGCCACCACCCTGCGGCCAGAGTGCTCTAGTGAGGACCTCCTGGGACAAACAGATCCCAGACAGGGTCAAGGATTAGGTTTCAAAGTTGGGAGACTTTCCTTTTGGGAGTAGTGTATCAGGGTCTTGAATCTGGGGGCTAAGTTGGGTGTATTTAACTGAAGAAAGACCTGTGCTTTCAAGCAACATGTTGGCCTATAATGTCATTTTTTGTATAAAATAGGGCTCATAATTACACATTGTATATAAAATGGGGATTGTTTATACTAGCATAGAGGAAAAAACTTGGAGCAACATATACCAAGCTGCCAATACCAGTTACCACAGATTAATGGGATTAGAAAATATAAGATTGTTAATTTTATGTCTGTGTGAATGTTTATAGCATACATAGGTATTGATTTTTTATTTAAAAAAATCTTACATAGCTAAACTTTTATAAAAGAAAAAGATATGCTTGCATTAAAAATCAGGCATCTGATTTTTTTTCTTTTTTAGTACTGGGAATCGAACTCAGGACCTTGCACCTGCCAGGTAGGTGCTTGTGCCGCTGAGCTATATCCCCGGCCCAGGCATCTGATTTTTAACCCCAGGGAAAAAATTCTACATCTTTCACAGACACAGTGTGCTTTTATAAAGATGATGAAATCACGAGTCATGTCCTTGGACTGGCTTTCGCTGCTGTCCTCTGGTCCCTGACATCAGGAACTACCTCGATGCAGAGGCACGTGGGCTCTCCCTTCTCTGTGACCGCACATTCCCGGCCGGCTCCACAGAACACATTGGCACAAATCTTGGATTTGCTCCGTATTTCTTCCTAAAACACAAATTCACAAAGAAAACCATGTTACTGAGCAAGCCCATTGTGGGATGAGCCAGTAGTGGTGATTATTTTCAGGCTTGGACTTTGGTCTAGAATTGCAGCTCATGGAGTTGAAGGGCTTTGATCTGCCCAAAGTTGTCTCTATCCGCCAACACCATACTCTCAGGCATTGCTCTGGCCCAGGTTCAGGTACCTCTGACTCCCTAAGACTGATTTGCCAAAAGTAAGAGTTCCTTTCCTCCTCCCTTTTAAAAAGTTTATTGAGTGCATCTACTACATGCCAACACTGCAAACAGACTGGATACACAAAGGACAGTGCTGATGTTAAAGAAGTTTGAGGACCACCAAAGAGACATTTAGAAAAAAATATATATATGGGGACAGAGAGTGAGTGGGGGGGGGGGAAGAGAAACAGGAGCCCCACAGGGAGCTGGAGGGAGAAGGCATAAATCAAAAGATTCTTTCTGAAAATATCATTCTTTCTGAAGCCTTATGTGACTCTGAAAGGATGAGATCAGTAAGCCAAGCAGAAACTGAAACACTGGAGAGAAATACAAACATCTCAAGGATCAAAACCTCACTGAGTGGTGTAAAATACAATATTATCAAAAAAGGGCAAGAGAAGGATGCTAAAGCATGAAACACGTATCTCCTATCATTTAGTATTGAACCCCTGTCCATGTCTCCTCTGGCGTGGGAGGACTAGACTGGGAGGGCCAGACTACTCCAAAGAGAGCAAAACCACCTGAATGTAGGAGTACCTTCAAGCCACTTTCTGGTTAGGGTTCTTGTTCAGACATGGGCAGCTGAACTGACAAGGCAGGGGATGGTCTCAGTCCATGCCATCTGAAAACATGGGTAACATCTGCACTAATGTGTTGGAGGCATGCTCTTTGCTCTCTGTCATTGGAGGCAGAAAACCAACCCCACTTCATTCACCACTCAGCCCAGCAGTAGTGGTGGTTAAATGAAGGGAATGAAATTTCTCCAGCCCCTCTCCCCAAGCAGCTGGGAAAGCAGAACCACCGAGAGCTTCCAGATCTATACCCACTAGGCTGGTAGTGGCTGTGAAAAACTAACAAGATGGCAGGGGCCAGGCTGTGGTCATGGGACTGACTGTGGCAAAAACAAAAGTCCACGCTCCCACAAAACTCACACCCACTGGGCTGTAAGAGTGAAAATTCTTATACCAGTAAATGCTTTAGATTCCGGAATACGTCTAAAAAAAAAATGAAAAAAGGTACCGGCTTGAGAGCTGAGGATTTGTGCCCAATACAGTTGGTCTGCTGCCACCTGGAGGCTGCACGGCAAACTCCAAGTTACTCTTTTCTCCCACAAACCAGCTTGCGTCAAGCAGGGCTCCCATTGGTCTAGAAGTTATTTGCATGCTCTCGTTTTATTGGTTCACAGGCTGTTACTAAACCAATTCTTTTGTGCATGTTGCTAAGGCGAATTCAATAATGCTGGCAGGCAAGGAAGAAAAGAGGAAATAATTCCCAGAAGGCTGGGGACTCTGGAGAGCTGTTGTTTCCTAAACAGGGGGTGCAGATAAAATCAGGCATATTCTCCAGGCTGGGCCCTTTCGTGGGAACTATGTAAAGCAACACTTAAGAGGAAGAGGAAAGGCTACCACTGATCACTTAAAAAAAAAGATCTCGGGATAACCTTGGTCCCTCTCCTCCATGAGATCCTGTAACCTTATGGTTGTGTCACATGAGCTACAGAGACAAATGCATGCAAAATCCTGCACTCAAGGGCACACCGGCAGCCAGCTCCCCTGGCAGACACCCACCAACTTCCCCTAGCTGTGAGTCTCTAACTAGTCACTTTACTTCATTGAGACTCGCCTTTCCTCATCTGTTAAAGGGAGAAGTTACCAACCCTGCCCTGTGAAGGTAAAATGAGATAATATATTCGAAAGTACCACAAACCATAACGCAAGCCACCCATGAAAAGTGAGATTAATGGAAATGTTTTATAGGGCTGCCTGCAGAACTGCTGGTGGCAGTTACAGAGCCTCATTTTCTCTTATTTTTTTTTTTTAGTGAGCATGAAAAATAAAAGCGTTTCCTTATTAACTGAATTCAACCCAAGTGAGTGCTCAGAAATTGTTCCCCAAAATCCACTTGGAGACATATACCTTTTACTTAAATGAGAACAATATTTAATAGCACAATTAAAATTTATGAAGTGTTTCATGTACCTGATTCTATCTTACTGTTCAGACAATATTATTGTCAGCCCTATTTTATGGAGGAGCAAATTGAAGATCAGAACAGTCAATTGGGTTTACCCAAGACCCCAAAGCTAAAAATGATAGGAGCTCAGAGTCCAACCCAGATTTTCAGATCTCATATTAACTAAGTTTCCACTTATAAATACCTGGCATGTTAAGTGATTTATTACATAAACTCTACAATAACTCCATAGATCAGACGTCATTACCACCCTCATTTCACAGATCCGGGAACTGAGCATTAGTGGTCCAATAACCTAGAAGGAGATAGAACTAGAATTCTACTCAATCCAAAGAAAAATGGGTTCTTTTTTATTTTCTTATCCAGATTAAGACTAAGGAAATAACGATGGGGATGTGAATTGCAGTTAGTAAGGGTAGGAGAAAGTGCCTCAGAGATTTAGATTTGAATTACCCCACAGCTCACCTCTGTTCCTTGTATTCCAAGGTCAAGGACAAGGTCCTGTACTCTTTTTAAACCTCAGTTTCCTCGTGTACCAAGTGGGAATGCTGACCCTCAGAGGGCTGCTGCCATAATTAAATGAGGTGTACGGTATGCCGCGCAGCGCTCACCACACTACAGAACGTGGCTGTTACCACAGCGACAATTTAGTGTCATTGCCCCCTGGGCTGCTGCGTCCTCATTCTTCCCTTCCCTGTCCTCCCTTACAATGGAAAAGAAATACTGAGAGCAACAGGATTGATGGAATAGAAAAAGCGAAGGGTCCAGGAACCCCATGGCCTGTCTGCAGAGCACAGGCGATGGAGAGCCATTCGTTACCAACCATTCCTCTTTGCGGGTGACACATCTGTCAATAGGTGGCAATCTCTCTCTTTGTCTTGCACAGCCCAGAGCCGGAGCCGCAATGCAGACGTGCAGGCTCAGCTCCTGCAGCTCTGCTTAGCTCTGTCCTCCAGTGAGAAGTGAAGCAGGGGGTGGAGAGGAGTACAAGCAGGAGGATCTGCAGGGTTGGGAAGGAATGTCCTCCTCTGCAGTCCTCAGAGCCCGCCCCAGCTCTCCTCATTCACGGGCATTAAAAACAACAATGAAGGGTTTTCTCCAGAAAGGTGGCATTTGCGCCACTGAGAACCCTTGTCTGAGCCCCACCTTCTCTGGAAGCAAGAGTGTCAGATGCAGCCCCAAGTCTCCTAGACCGTTCCTTAGGGTGGCAGGAAGTCTTACTCATCTGCTGCCTGACTGAGTCTGAGTGGGAAAGAAGGGCAGCTTGGGAAGAACGTGCTCAGGATGGTGAGGGGTCAGGATGAGGAAGACGGTGAAGTGGCGCAGTGGGTGATGACCAAGGTGGGTCTCGGTAGCCGATCTCAGGACCCCCATGGCTCTGGTAGGCAGAGAGACTTAGGTCAAGGGAAGGAGCTGTAGGGAGAGGGGACAGGGGTGAGGGCTGTCCTAGAGCACAGCCCAGCTCTGACTCTCCTCCATGTTATTTTCATGATGTATATTGCAAACCGGCTCTGGGGATTTGATCTAAGGGTTCATTACTACACTGCAAATTCCCCTTATTTTGTCAAAGACTCACCAGGAATATTGCAGACTTTTACCAGGGGAAAAGCTTCCTTTGAGCGACTGTCAATCACTGCACAGTAATAATGATACTTTGTACTTGTTCAGCAATTTTGATGAGTATGTAATTTTTACTTTCATTTCTTACTCTAAGGTTTTTAATAGGGGGCAGGTAGGGGTTACCTCTAACAGCTCTCTCATTTAAGGTTCTATGAGGAAAAGGAAGCAAGACTCAGCTATAGGGGACTTAGCTCAGTGGCACAGCACCTGCCTGGCAAGCGCGAGGTCATGAGTTCGATTCTAGGTACTGGGGAAAAAAAAAAAAAGACTCAGCTATAAATGACTGTTCCAAGATCTGATGGTTAAAGAGCTGGGTCTTCAGTCTTTAATTCCAGTCTTTTCCTCTTAACTCTGCCTGTTTACAAATCAAGGCCTGGAAAGGTGTTGTCTAGAGTAAGGTCTTACACAATGAAAATTATTTGTTTATTTTTTTGGTCTTTTTGAGACAGGGTCTCGCTATGTAGTTCAGCTGATCTTGAGCTCACTTTGTAGCCCAGGCTGGTCTTGAACTCACAACAATCCTCCTGCCTCAGCCTCTCGAGTGCTGGGATTACAGGCATGCACCACCACGCCCGGCTGAAAATTATTTTTTTTTTCCAAGCAAAGGAGACCCTTTGCGAGCAAATGGAAAAGCAAGTTATTTGCAAAATCACTGGTAGAAGTGATGGTATGTCTGAATCTCTACGCTAAAGAGCATTAAACCTGAGCATAAAATACACTGTGACTGTCTTTAAAAAGTCTTCTGAAATTAAAGAATTTCTGGAAGAACAGAGTACTTTGGCAGGGGAGGGAGCTTATAAGTGAAGCCATAAAACTGTCAGCTTAGCATAATATCATTTCACTGAGGTGAACTGGGTCAGCTCTGTCCCCTCATTCTTTTCCTCCTTCCCAACTTTTTTTTTCTTGAAAAAACCGCCCTGCTTATATGCCAAGGTGGAATTTTGGCTCCACTTGCCTCTATTGTGTGATAGAGCAGCTTTGTTGATGTGAGAAAGGCTCTCTTTGCTTTGCCAGAATTAAGTCATGGAAACCTCATAGGTGACGAGGGCCCTCAAATACAGAGTAAGTACCACGGAGATAGGACAAAAGAATCCAGAGAACTGGCGCATGTGTGGAGGGGGTCCCCAGGATGGGATGCTTGCTCCTCTCAGGCAGCCATTCTGGAGTGGAATTCTG